CCTCTGAAAACACAGCGAGACAGCAAAACCAGACAAGATCTTCAGGAAACCCGTGGGAGCGGGTCTCTGCTCCTGAAGAGCACCTGGATCATGCTGTGGATGTGGAACTGGCAGGGGCTGCCTTGGGCACTTCAGCATCCATCAGTTCCTAATGGAATTGGCTGTACTATCCTCATTGTTCTGAATTTGTGTTCTCTGCACACGGGGCTCAGTTCTAGGGTTTAACAATGGCTGCTCAGAGCCCTTCCCTCACGAATGATGTTTGTTTCCCACACTTGAGTGTCGAGTGGTGACAAGGGCTGATGTGCCCAGCCTAGCATGGGTGTTCACTCAAGTGGCCCGTGACTGGGGAGCTGAGCAGAGAAATTTTTTGGGTTTGTTTTGTACTCTGAGACTGTTTAACATCATCTTTTTAGGAACTGGGTGTATTAGCCCCATGTCTCAGCTCAGTGGCGTTGTGCCCTTCCTTGGGATTTCCACAGCCTGCCTTGTCAGACTCCCAGTGGCTGCCACCTCCCACCCAACACATCCACATCCCCGATGAATAAAGTTGGTGTTTATTTTCCCCTCTCTCCTTGTAAGGCATTGCTCATTTGCAAGGTAATGATGATCTGGGTCGCCCCATTCATTCCTTGTATTCCCCTGAGCACCCAGACCGGCCGGGCAGGGAGCGGAGCGCGGCAGAGGGTGCTGGTGTGTGCCGGGAGCCTGCGAGCACAGACCCAGCCTACCCTGGGGTGAAGCCACCACCTCCGAGGCCAGGAAGCTGTGGTGTGTGTGCTCGGTGTGTGCTCACAGCCAGCTGCTCCTCACAGAGCCTGGGAGTGGGAGAGCTCAGCGTGTTTGAAATGTGCAGGAACCCCTAATTGGGATTAACTCGGCGGGATAAAAGAAATTAAATTCTCCAGGCTGGCTGGCAAAGAGGAGAGCATGACTGGATCCTTGTGCTCCCCCGTCCTCTGAGTTCCTGCAAAGTAAGTGGTGTTGGCTTTCCAGTCTTGGGAATCTGCAGCTAAATGGGGAGGGGGGAATACTTTAAGACCCTATGAGAGTATATAGAAGTCACAGCGTTGTTGGAGGTGCTGTTGCAGCTGGCTAGACTGGAGAGGCAGGATTCCTGCTCTGCTCTGGGGAAGTACCAGCTGCGTTAAACCTTGCAAGTTGGGCTGGAAGCTGTGTGCCACTCCTGGAGGCTGTGTGCTGCTCCTGGAGGATGTGTCTCACTCCTGGAGGATGTGTCCCACTCTGTGCTTTGTGCTCTGCTGCTGGGCTTTAAGGGAAGAAAAGGTGCTGGAGGTCGGCAGCGCTGCTGGGATGTCATGGCTGGAGGCTGAGTTGGGAGCCGATTGGTTTTGGGATGAAATGAGTTGAGTTCAGAGGTGTGGGGCGTTGTGGGTTTTTTTTTTCAATAGGAAAATTTCCAGTTGTGTTGTGGAAAGGGGGACTGGAGTTTTGCTTGTGTTGAGCTGTGGGTGAGGAGGCTTGAGAGTGTGGTCACTGAAACACTGTCCTCTGTAAACCTGAGGTTATTCACAACTACAGAATGTGTGGCAAGAAAACCACTGTGGTAGGCAGGTGGTTCTCAAAAAGACACGTATCACCTTAATACATCCTGTAGTTTGGAATCTGGCTTCCCATAACAGCAGATCCGAGCTCTCCACTGGTGTCTTCCTATAGCTCAGCTCTGCAGAAAATCTCTCCAGCAGGTTTTTTTCTTAGAAGAGCGTTTCTCTGCCCAAGTGAGTGAGTATCCTGCGATCAGGGAAGGGTGGGAAGAAAGAAACGCACTGAAACTGTGTCAGCCTGGAGAAAAGCCCCACGGTGTGGGCGGGCGATCACTTAGCTGGAGGTTTTAAAGTTGTATCTTCTCAAAGCTACTCCGGCACTTGAGCAGCCATCAGAACTGCAGCTGGAAGCGTGCATCCAAGTTTGGGGACATTTGGGTTTGGCATTTAGAAATGTAGTTAGTCTTTTCTAAATTAAATGCCTCCAGAGATGTCTGACCATGAAATCCCTCCTTCCTGCTGCAGAGATGAGTGAAGTGGGTGAGATCTCGTGCCTGCTCCGTGTTAGAAATTGTCTTAAAAATCACTAATTGCATCCCACGGTCTAGGGCAGATTCAATGTTGTGACTAACTGTAACAGGGCTTTCATTTTTCATAATTAAAAAGAAAAAAAACCATCTACTTCTGCTTCTTGGGCCTTTTTTGCAGCACAACTCCCCAGGGTACCCAAGAGGAGTTTGCTGCAGCCGTGTGCACAGTTGCTGATTGAAATCAGCTCAGAATGTTCCCCCTGGTTTCTTGCAAAAACAGGCTTTGAGTAGCTTCACAGACCTTCTGCTCATCACCCTGCACTCAAAACTGTGTGGTTTTATCTGGGGAGATGAATCAGAGGTCGGGCAGAATCAGCAGCAGCACTGAGTTTTGCAGTGAAGTTGATCTTGTTTTCATGAAACCTGGCTGAGGAACTTGTGCTTTTTGTAGGAGTCACAAAAAACTCCCACATCCTGGAGTTAACAAACCATCTGCCCTTCACGGTGCCCGTGCTGGGGTGTCACGGAGGGGAGTTATTCCTCCTGGGCCGTGGGTGTGTGTCGCACGTACGCAACGGCCGTGGCCGCCCTTGCCTTCAAAGCCATCCGGGCTTGCGGAGCCAGCACGTTGTGAAACCTCGTCTGCTGAGTCTCCTGCCCCAGGGAACAGCCCCAGGACTGGGAGATCGATAACTTTATTGGCAGGAAATTCAGGTGTAGGTTTCGGAAGGTCTGGCTGAGACTTTGCCTTGCAAACCTGCTCAGTCCTACCCGAGCGGCTTCAGTTGGGCGCTGAGTTTTGCTCGCAAATACGTAGTTTTGGGAGGCCCAACGAGTTGTCCAAAGTGGCTTTTCCCAGTGACTGCTGAGCCTGCAATAGACAGTTTCACTGGTCAGAAATCCAGGAGCAACCACCCAGCTGCTCAGCCGAGTAGGTCAGAAGAATTTCTCTGTATTCATTTCCACTCAGGAAGCCTGTCCCTTCTTCAATCTTAAAAATCAGGGATGGAAAATCCCCCCGTTGTGGGATAAGCTGCCCCATGTGTGCCTGCCTCAGCATGCTGAAAGCTTCCACCTCGATTCCGACATCACACCAGTTCCCGACTCGTTCCTCGTTAGAACTTTGTCTGCTGAACCCCAGAGCCTGCTCGGCTCTGCCCTGAGCACGGCCACTCCTGCAGCCTGTGATCCCATCACTCTAATGAGCTGAGCGAGTCCAGTGAGGAGCTCCAGGCTCTGTCTAACACGACAGCCCTGTTGCAGGTAATCCATGTAATTAATGTATGCTCAGACAGAAAAGCTGTGTTGTCTAATTAAAACGTCGTTGGAGAGGGAACAGCCTTCCCTTCCCAGCTCTGATCTAAGCCAGTCTGTCCAGCCTGGTTAGTCCCTAAAAACTCTCTGTCTCACTTTCTACCTTGAACTAATTGGTCTCCAGGGTTCAGGCTTCAGTCAGGGCAGTTTCCAAAGGCATGGGAAGTTCTCAGATAAAAGGGTGCTCTCGGATAGAAGGGTGCTGCGAGTGGGCAGAGACCTGCCAGTTATAGGGGTAAAGATGTTCCAAAGATGCTGCAGTGTGACATGGAGGTCAGGGCAGTGGGGACAGTGGGCACAGACTGCCCCGCTCACTGTGGAGCTGCTGTAGCTTCTGAGATTCACATGAGGCAGGATGGCTTCTCATCAGAGCTCCTCTGGTCTTTGTCATCCGGATGGTGATATGTAAGAGGGTGAGTAAGAGATGCTCGGTGTGCCCCATAGGATCTCTGGGTGCCCAGCTGTGCTGGTGGAAGCTGTCCTGCTCAGCTCTGCCCGGGGACCCTGCTGGCCCCGTCTGGATCGGCTTCCGTGGCTTCTTGGAGCCGGGCTTTACTCCCGGGCTGGGAACTGCCTCCGCCTCCTTTCGGCGTTTCCCGGGTGCGGGTCACAGGCCAGCCTTTTTTGGAGCGCAGGGTGCACAGAGCTGAGCTCTGCAGAGCCGGGAGCTGCAGCCGCCGTCGACGCTGGGGCAGGTGAAGCTGTGTCAGCTTTTGCTTTGAGTTTGCAGCGCGCTGACGGCTGAGCAGGGACGGGGATGGTGGGACGGGGGTCACCAAGAGCCTCCCGGGAACGATCCTGCAGGCTGGGGAGCATCTGCACTTTGTGTCAGGCTTCCCAGCACCTTCGTGCCTCTGCACCACTTGCTCTGGCCCTGCCACTGCTGCGGTTTACAGGAGAGGACTCTTCCCTTGAGGAAGGTGCAGGGACAAGGGCTGGATTTGGGCAAAGCATGGCTTCAGGCAGAGGGAAGTGGTGGAAAGGTTGGGCGTTGTCTGCTCTGTCACAGCAGAGAGCAGCTGCAGACCTGGGGCTGTGGTGTCGGAGGAGAGGTGGGGTCTGTGTGAGACCTGCTGCAGTCAGAGGGTGTCCCGTGGTGTGACAAGGGAGAGGAGGGGAAGATGGCTGTGAGGCCGAAGCTCTCTCCAGTTCTGGGAAGCTGAATCATCTACCTGTCCTGTCTGGCCTCCCCTATGCTCAGGAGTGGTGTCACCTCCATCCCACAGCCCAGGCGGTGTCTTGGTGTCCCCAGAAATCACCCTGTCACTTTTTGAGTGACTCCAGAGGTTTTCTGGGGCCCCTGGCAATCTTCTTTTCAGCATCTCAGTGGCAACTCGGGAGCTTGAATCTCATTTGGTTTGCTGGGTTGTTTTTTTCAAAAGGAACCAAAAGTTTTCCTGGGAGGTGGCAGAGCACCTGCTGCTGGGTGTCCACACTGGATGGGGCACTGGAGGCATCCTGGTCACCCTGGGGAGGGCAACCACTGGCCGGAAAATGGGACTCCCAGTGCATGTCCCCCTCCAGAGGGGCCTCTCAAGTCATGGAACACCATTTCGTGCTGTGGTGAGCCTGGCAGTGCCTGGCTGCACCCCAGCTCATGTTCTCTCTCCCCAGAGCTCAGCCCCACGGTGGTGTTGGAAGCAGATCCCCCATGGCTGCAGCTGGTGGTGAGGGGCCGGTGGGGACCCCGCTCCTGCCGACCGGCGCTGCCCTGGCCCTGCTCGGTGGCCTGGTCTACCTGGGTGCCCTGTGCACTGCCTGCAGACGGTACGTGCTGCCTGCAGCCCCTCTGCTTTCCCTCCTGGTACTGGGATGGGGCTGGGGGGCCCTCGGTGGCATTTGGTGGCCACACGTGGAGACCCCGCGTGTGCCCATCCTGAGCTGGCACCGCTGGGATCTGCTTCTCTGCTCACCTCAGACCCCAGTGCCCTGTACCCCAGTGCCCAGGGACACCTCCTGCACCCAAAAATCTCACAGGAGCAACCCAAAGAGGGCTGAGCTGTGAGCAGGATGGGCAGGGTGGGTGATGCCAGGGGCAATGCCATGGGTGGTGCCAGTGGTGCCCGGCACAGCTCAGTTGTAGGATGCAACTGAGACCTCCCCAGCCAGCACAGACCCTGCTGCAGGGCTGGGGAAGGAGCAGTGAGATGTGGTTTGGGGGATGCCAGGTTGGGGTCCTGGGGCACCTGCTCCTCACCCCTGGCTTGGCCACCCACCTTAATCTCAGCTCCACTTCTCCCCACAGCAAGGGCAGGAAGAAGGTTGCTCCGGATGGGGTGAAACTGGTGGATGAGGTAAGCACATGTTGGGGGACAGGATCAGCCCCAGGGGGGAGCTCTGGGGCCCCCAGCTCCCAGACATGAAGCTGAGAGTGTGTGTTCCCAGGCCCTGCTCCGGCAGACACAGCTGCGGTCACTCAGCAAGTCGGACACGAAGCTGCATGAGCTGTACCGGCTGAAGGCCAGAGACAGCGGTGAGTGGCCATGGAGCTGGGGAAGCTGAGGGACTGGTGGCCCTTGACAAATGCCTGCAGTCCCCACGCTGCCTGGGGAGCACACCACAACGTGCACACCCATGCTGTGGTGCCGGCGTGGTGCTGGCACAGGGGTCGGTGCTGCTGCCTCCCCCATGTCCCCTCGTCTCCTCTCCTCTCCCACAGCCCAGCGCCCGGCCAGCCTGGATCTCCCCTGTCCTGCAGCCCCCGGAGCTGAGTCCCTGCTCAGCTCTGGCCTCCTGCACCGTGAGCTGCCCCGGATTCCTGTCCCCGAGCCACCGGCCGCCTCCCCAGCCCCCGACCAGACCTACTCCAACCTGCTCTTCACCCCACTGAGGAAACCAGCAGCAGATACTGTCTATGAGTCCCTGGCAGTGGGGGGGGAGGACACCCCGGTGTCCCCCACACCCGCTGGCACCCAGGTGTCCCCCCCACGGGTGGGGCACGGGGCGGCCGATTACGCCTGTGTCCATAAGGTGAAGAAGGCGGTGCCTGTGGAGGTGCAGGATGGGGCCATGGCAGGACCCTCTGGAGCACAGCAATGCTGGGATGGCACAGGCAATGCCCCCCGGGCCAAGGTACGATTCTGGGGGGCATCAGGGATGGGGTACAGAGCAGGTCGCATAACTCCCTGCCTCCCTGTAGCACCTGTGTTTGGAGCAGGGTATAAATTAGGCTACTGCATTTTCACTGGGGCTTTTTTGAGGGGCAGAATGAACCCAAAACCACAAGGGGCAGGCGATGCCCACGATGCTGCTCTCTATGCCCCACAGAAGGCTTCCTGGGGTGCGCAAAAAGTGGGATCCCCAACAGTTAATCCACTGCCAGGATCCTCTTGCGGGGCTGTGAGAATCTGGGGGGTCACAGGCACAGGGATACCCTGCAGTGGGCAGGGATCACCCCCAAGCCCCCACCCAAAAAAGTTCCTTTTGCAGCTGGAAGAGATGTACTCGACAGTGTGCAAAGCCACCAAGAAGAAATCCCAGGTCCCTGCATCGACCCTGAGGGCCTCAAGGGAGGTGGGTTCTGGGTGGCCACCCCCCTGCCAGCAGGAGGGTGCCCCAGCTGGGTGCTGGACCCCATCAGCCCAAGGCTCCCTGGACCCCTGCTATGAATCCATCAATGACAGAGCCTGGACTGCTCAGGGCCGTGGCCCCGACCCTGACTACGAGGCTGTGGACATTAACTGGAAGAAGGCAGCGAAACGGGACAAGCTGGGGAAGACCTGTGTCCCTGAGAACCTGTACGAGAGCGTTGGGGACATTTGGGCAGGGGAGCCCCGGAGAGCCTCCACCCGGACGACAGCCAACGGGCTGGAGGTGTACATCACCAACCTATAGCCCCCCAGGAGCAGGATCAGTGCCACAGTGGGGTCCCACCATGGCTGGACACTGTCAGTGCCCACAGACAGGCACCTGCAGCCCTGGGGCATCCCTGCACATGCTCTCTGTATATATTTCTGTTACTTTTCTTTAAGTGTCTTTGTCCCATCCCATCCCAGCTGGTGCCAGCAGGTTGCTGGTGGGATGCCCCAGGATGGGCAGTTTGGGGGTGCTGGGTGCCGTGTGGGACCCCAGTGGGACAGGGCTGGTGGTACCACCAAGACAAGAACAGGATGGGGACCAGTCATGTTTTGGGGCAGGGGGTGGCAGGACTGTGATCAGCCCTGTCAGGGGCTGCAGGATCAGACCCTCATCAGGGGTTTTATGCCATGAGTGAGGGTCTCTGTCCTCCTCCTGCTGCCTTGGGTAGACCAGGGCCCCCTCCAGCCCCCAGGAAGCCCTGAGTGACTTTGCTTCCGTCACGGAATGTCCCTTGTTATGGGGAGATGGAGTCATCCCTGTGCTTCTATGGAATCATAGAATATCCTGAATTGGAAAGGACCCACAAGGGATCATTAAGTCCAACTCCTGGCCCTGCACAAGACAACCCAGAAATCCCACCTTGTGGGTTGTGGACTGTGGCAGTGTGGACAGTGGGCTCTGCTCTATCCTCTGTCTCCCACTCCCACCCCTTCAGACCCACGCAAGTGTGTCTCCGTGGGCAGCCATCACCTGAACACCATTAAAAGGTTGAGAGGGTGTTAACACTCCTTAACTGGATCTAAATCTGTGATTCTGGGGGCTGGTGCTGCTGCAGCAGTGACGCAGCGATGCTGGTGCTGGGAAAGCCCCTTTGGGCACAGTGTGACTGTGGGTGCACCTGCCCTGCATGGATGGTTTGGCACCTCCGAAATGGGGACATGCAGCCACCAAGAGCTGCCAAAATGGGATGGCCTTTGCCAGAGCAGTGACTTGCTCAGGAGCTTTGTACAGGGTTTGGGCAGGAACCGGGGCGTATTTGCACAGCACTTGCTGCCTGCTCACCTCCCGTCTCCCCCGTGGGTCCTGCAGCCTCAGTGTGCCAAAAATTGAGTGCTTGGGAGAGTTGGACGTGCATCTGGACCCTCAGACCCCAGAGCTTAAGCTTTCCTCCTCTTCTCCCCACTGGAAATTGTGCATCCCTGCCCCAAGGGATGCCCAGTGCCCTCCAGGCAATGCCACGATGGTGGCCTGGGTGTAGCCCAGCTGGCCAGGGGCTACCTAACATGGTAGCACAGTGGCCTGGTGCTCACTGGAGCCGGGTGGAACCTGCGGCCCCTGTGCCGTGCCGTGCCGTGCCACGCTGTGCAGCAGGAAGCCACACGCCTTCCTTCAGCAGCTTTGCCCCCACACCGCGGCAGGTGAAGAGATTAAAACCGAAAACGCGGCGCTCAGCAAACCCCGCCGCAGGCGTTAGAGCCGGAGGCACCCCAGCCTTCGTCAGCCCCGAGCTCGACGCCAAACCACAGCGCCCGCTCGAGAGCTGCTCCCATCCCCCTGCCAGATAAGGGCCCCGATAGAACTCGGTTGGTGCCGGTGCTGCCACGCTCTTCCTGCTGCCAGCCCTGCAACGGCGCCTGGGCTCCCCCCGCGCTGCCCCCGGCCGCATCCTTCTCCTGCTCCCCTTCTCCATCATCCCACCCCACAGAGCCGGGTCCCCCCTGTGCCACCTGAACCCCCTGGGAGCTGGTTTGGGCTGCGTGGCCCCACACAGGAGCATCACCTCCCTGTGGGATCAGAGCAGCTTCGCTCTGGGGCAAAGTAGGCCCTGTGCTGCCCCAGGGGCTGGCATGTGGGTACCACTGTGCCACCTCCATGGGGAAAGGAAGGTACCTGGGGAGGGGAAGCTCCTGTTCTGGCAGAGCATCTTCCCAACCTGCCCCAGCAGCAGCAGAAGCAGCCCACTGTGCAGGGCTGCCTGCTTGCCTGTAATTCCTGTGGGACTTCGGAGAGCCAGACTCAAATAAAAGAACAACTGCTCAGTCCTCAGGGCGACGGAAAATGTGCCTGGAGCCCTGTAGGCTCGAAATCTGGGTAGTGAATGAAGAATCCACCCCGAAACTTCTCTTGGAGTCTCGCGATCTGGTCGGGATGGTTGAGGTCAGAGTGAGGGGAACGGGTAGGGCTGGGAGCACCCCTCCTCGGGCCCGGGGACAGACCCTTACGGGGCTCTAAGTCTCGCTGCGAGGGGATGGTGCTAAACGGTGCTATTCCCACAAGGGGGAGCGAGCAGGAGCCCAGCGCACGCCGTACGGTGCAGAACGGGGCTGCCGTGCAGTCCTGCACTCTGTAGGACATTGCACGGTGCTGCAAGATGCTGCACACACCGCACGGTGCTGTACTGGGCGCCGTGCGGGGCTCTGTACCGTAAGTATCCACATCCCGCATGTCCCCGCACCCCGCAGGGCTCGGTGGCTGCGCGGCATCACACGGCTCTGCACCCAAACCAGCTCCACACCCGAGCAGCTCCGCACCCTGCCCAGCCCCACATCCCTGCAGCTCACTCCCGCACCCCGGCAGCCCTGCACCCCCCAGCAGGCAGCCAGGGGAGATGGGAACTGTGGGCACGACCCCGGTTCCCTCTGCGAGACCACCTGGGAGAAAGTCATCACAGCCCAGTCCAGAGCCAACTCGGACCTGGCAAGGACATCCAGGTACCACAGGGGCGTCTCCCAGGAATGCCAGTGCCGGGAAGGTGATTCTTGAGGGTGTCCTGTGCAGGGACCATGAGTTGGACTCAATGATCTTTGTGTGTCCCTTCCAACTCAGGAGATTCTATGGCTCTAGGGTTCTATTTTGGGATGGCACCTTGCCGACCACCCCCCGCCGCCCGGGCCGGGGGTCGGGCTGGTGGCACCGGGGCCCTGTGCAAGGGCGGGCGATGCCCATGGAGTTGCACAACACCGAACGGAGCTGTCGGAGCCGCCAGCTCAGCGCTTCGGCCGCCGTTAACCATTAAACCAGAGCAGGGGTGGCGGCGGAGACTCCCCCGGGCCCCCCGGGCTCCTCCAGTGCCGCGCTAAAGGGGGCTGCGGGGCCGGACCCACCCCAGGGACAGGACAGGATGGGGATGAAGGCTGCTGCGCTTCTTCTCCCGTTCTCCCTGGGCAGGTTTGGGGCCCCGCGGGCGTCCCGGTTCCCGGGGGACGCTGCTAGTCCCTCCCTTCCATGCAGGAGGACCCCGCGGGCGGCAGTCCCGGAGTGATACCCGGGCTCTTGGCCGGGCCCGTGAGGGCTTTACCGGTTTGCTGCTTTATTTCACATTTAGGAAAGCACCTGGACATGGCGCAGGGTGGAAGCGGCACCTCCAGCCACCCCGCTCCCTTCCCACCAGAGCAGGGAATAAGGTGTAGCCAAAGTCCCCCTGGAAGCAAGCTGGGAACATCGCCTTCCCGGGCAGGGCATCCCCGGGATGCTGCCCTAGCACCCCCAAAGTCCCTGAGCCGTGGGCTGCTGGGGGACAGGCAGGGAGACAGGGTGGGGACAGGCGGGGGCCACCGTCCGGGACAGACACACGGACTCTGTCCCGGCTTCCAGAACGCAGGTTGGTCAATCCAGCAGCAGCAGGACCTGGTGGCCCCTCGCCGGCCCTCCCGGCCCGGCGGCAGTCGGGGCAGGTGAGGAAGAGCATGGATGGGAGGCAGCTCGGGCTGCCCAAGCACCCCGGAACCCCAATACCCAGTACACTACAAGTACCCCATGCACTCCACATACCCAGAGCACCCCAGAATCCAGTGCACCCAGGGCATTCCATGCACCCCACGTACGCCTTGCACTGCAGGTACTCCATGCACCCCACATAACCCTGGGTACCCCAGTACCCCCTGCGCCCCCTGTACACTACACAACCCACACACCCAGGGCACCCCACATGCCCAGGACACCCCATGCACTCTATGAACCCCATGTACTCCGGTACCTCAAGCACCCCTAGTACCCCAAGCACCCCGGGCACACCACGCCCAGCCCTGCCATTCTGGGTGGGTTTGGACAGCGATTCTTCGTGGTGGGCAGGACTGACCCAAATCGATTGGGATTGGGGACCGCCCTCCCACCCCAGAAATGCAGACCACACCTCCTTCCCAGCACAGAGACACTGTAACTTTTTGGGGAACCCTATAGCCAGCTTCCAGTGGGTCTAAAACTTCGGAGGGAATTTTGAGGGGGCCCTATAATTTTTGGGGGACTATCACTTTGTGGGGAGCCCCGCAACTTTTGGAGAACCCCTCTAACTCATCCGCAGCCCTATAATTTGTGGGGGGGCCGGCATAACCTTTGGGGGAGAAACTCCCCAAGTTTGAACGCTGGAAAGCTTCACCCCGG